TAATAAATTTACTTGTCAAAAAGCAAAGATGAATCATGGGAAGAGAAAAGCATAATCATGGGGAGAGAAAGTAAAACAGATAAAAGAAAGTAAAAGTTTTCTAGAAAAATATAACCTTTTATTTTAACGAAACAAGATTTTAATTTTAAGTTTTATAGTTATATAAGCATTTTAATTTTTAATTTTGTTTTTGTCAACAGTATAAAATTAAAAAGAACGAAACTAAAGTAGATAATGCAAAAAACACTTCAACTAAACAAATTGTAGTTCTTCAACTGCCATGAAATTTTACCACTCCACTAGCTTCTATATAAATGAAAGGCATCTCTTTGTTGCCAAAGGCACCTGAAAAAATGTGGACTTCAAAAGTTGAAACAACTTCAATAGTAGAAAGCAGATTGAATGATGAAAGGGGCAAAAAACCTACAATTGTCTATTCTACCAAATTCTCTCAAACTTTCCCTAAATAACTATTCAAATTAAAATTTCTAATAAAATTTATTTATATGGTTAAAGTTTGTATAATATAGTGCTTTAGAACCTTTTAAGCATCTAACACCAACCTAATAAAATATCAATACTAACAGGCACAACAGTGTTCTATGAAACAATTTACATCTTTCATAAAAGTAAAAATTACTTTAACTAGTATATAAGATGCAACAATGACATACATGACCTCGTGAGAGCATTTTTTTATTATTCCCTTCCTACTTACTGAATCAAAAGCAACTAGGTAATAGAAGATGCAACAATGACATACAGATTCTAGAAGTTGATTGACGCTTAAGAGATCATTTTTTTGATGGCCTGCTCTGAATTATGTTTGGCTTGAGTTTCAAATGACTCTGGAAGAGCTTCACATCATCTATTGTAAAAATTGGACCAGCCTGCACGTCAAAAATGAGAATAATCAAATCTCAACAGTCAATTTCAAATAGTAAAAGATCGAAGGTGATTACCTCATCCGTAGAATTTAGCCCGTTTGCAGAGGCCGATGTCGCGAACCAGAATCGCCTGTTGATTGGAGCTTGTCTCACATACCTTTCTCGCAGAAACTTGCTGATCACTCTCTGATGAATTTTAGTGCCACAGATTGTTCAGAATTCAGTAAACTACAGCTATTCAATAGTCTGTTTGGTTAAGTATTCCGTCCCAAGTCTACTAATATCTCATCTGATAATTAAAAAAAAAAATTATGAATTTAAAATTAAAGAGAGCTTACAATTAGGAGAAATTCTTTGCAATTCTAAATGGCTCTATGTAGTTAACTAATGACAGTGGTGTGTGGTTATGCATCTAAAGTTTTAGCAGATGGGACCAGTTTACTGGGTAAGCCCAAAAAAAATCTAATTTAAAACCTCCATATTCTTTTCTTTAATATAAATAAATAAACAATCACAAAACAAAAACAAAGAACATGTTTAAAGATATGAAATGAAATACCTTCAACCAGAGAAATACAGAGCAGACTTCTCTTGTTTATGCAATGGAGTGATCTGCACAAGAGAAGAGGATGTGAAATAAAGAACATGTTTAAAGATATATGTATATATATATATCTGAAAAGCAGAATCCCATGTCTAAGAAGCCAAAAAAACTAAACCTTAAGCCAGAGAAATGCAGAGTAGGCAACAAATCTTCTTATCTCATACAATAAACTAGTCTACATGTCATGAGACACTTTTTTTTATCTTTAAGGACAGTCCTGATTACATCTTAATTTTTCAAGAAATCCACACTATGGCATGCTTGTCCTATAATTTCAACCCATTTCTGCACAGAAAAATGAAACCATAAGCCACTAGCCACCACAGAGTCCCTTCCATTATCAAGATTTTCTTGGCACTTGATGCTGAAACGTGTAACACTCCTTTTGGTTGCCATACCTTTCTTCTATACTGTATGAGATATGGATATTAATAAATTAAGAAATACATAAATTGCTTGAAATATTGAGTATGACATGTGTAGTGTGTGTGATTCTCAACTTCTATAACAAAAATAAGCCAGATCTTGTTTTCGGAAGCCAAAAATTTTTCTTCCAAAACACGCCAACAAATGATGCCTAAATAAACCAACTAATTTGTTTGCTAATGAAACTGATGAGAGGCATTAACTTCATTAAGTTTGAATAAATGCACACATCACATATATCAAACTCATTGTGCTCTTGATAGTCAAAATTATGTATCACTGTCAGTCACCAATCTTAGATCACACACAATAGTTCTACCAAACTAGATTGGGATGAGAGAGAGGGGTACCTGAATAGAGGTGTTCAATCTGATGCCATTGAAATCAAAGCGAGAAGAAGGAATGAGAGAGAGAGAAAGAGAGAAGGTTGTTATTTTTCTTAGGTTCAATGCAACAAAAAGGCTGGTTTTGATAAGAGGGAATAGAGTAGTTTTTGTGGGTGATTCAATGAACGGAACTCAATGGGAATCGATGCTATGTTTGTTAATGGGACGTGACCAACATCCTCATGGATGGAGTATGGAAAAGAAGCTTGAGGCTGGGTCGATTTGAGGCTAGGTCGATTATTAAACTCCAATCAATTCAGCAAGGTCTGTCCATCACCACCAAACGACAATGCTTCGAAAACTAGTGGTTTGATTGTTGGGTGTAGTGTGGTTTTGCAATGAATTAGATGGATAATACACAAGATCTCTGTGATGAAGAGGTCGATGGAGATGGAAGGAACAATACTTGTTCCACTTCTTCAACATATGGCGCCTCACAGTTCCGAATGGAGGAAAACAGAGAAAGGAAGACATAGAGACAAATAGAGAGAGGGCAAAATAGAGGAGATACCTGGAAGTGACTGTGGTGCTCGTGTAACCCTTACGGTGGTGCTCTCAACGACTAAACTTAAATTAGTCGCCAAAAGTAACATCTTTAGCTACTAAACTATTCTTTGTAGCTAAAGATTGTACATTTAGGGAACAAGATTTTTTTTTGTAGCCCAAAATCCTACTTTCAGCGACTAAACTTAAAATAGTCGCCAAAAGTAACATCAATACCAACTAAATTATTCTTAGTAGCTAAAAATAGAACCTTTCCCGACCAAATTTCTTTTAGTAGCTAAAGTGCCTATCTTTGGCGACTAAATTTATTTTGGTAGCTAAAGTGTATATCTTTGGCGACTAAATTTGTTTTAGTCGGCATTTTTAGTCGCCGAATGTGTAAATTCCTGTAGTGAAGGGGGCCAAAACTCTATATAATCACAAATTTATTACAAATTTTATTTTATCATATTTTAAAAATATTTCGTATGTATATTGTACTAAAGTAATAAATTTAAAAGGCATAAAAATTAAATATTATCATAAATTTAAAAATAAAATTTTTAGTCGATAGACATTTTCTAAACAAAAAGATTTAAAACAATATTAAAAACTTTTTTACATATTGTACAAAATTTAAGATTAAAAAATAGTAACATATAAATATTTTTTATTTTCTTTTTTTATAGGCAAAAAATAAACTTTATTGAATACAAATTAAAGAAAATTCTTACATCATACATCAATAAAGACAAAAACCTAGCAAGTGCTGTAAGTATCAAAGTGAAATCCCTTTATCTAAACTAGATTGGCACAAAAAGACTCACCCTATCACCTGTAGCACCTACTCTACCAATGTTGAGGAGAGCTCAACCAAAACAGAGAAGATAATGCAACCAACAAACCAAGGAGAAACAAACACAAGCTTACAAGCACAAGCAACTAGCCGCCCTCAACTTTTTTTCATGTTAATCATAGTTACAATGGATTGTAATTAACACCAACTAGAGTTATAACCGAGACTCAATTTGATCATAACCAATGTCACCATAATGAGTTATAACGAATAACACTTTTAAACAAAATAAAAATTATAATGGGACAGAACTAATTTCATTTAATAATTTTGTAGTCCTACTCTACTACCATAATGGCCCATAACTAGACACTACAATAATTTGTAACTAACATTAATTTAAATTATACATATGGAAATAATATGATCCTAGTTAAATGCATCAAACAGATTAGAGTATGTTTGGGTAGGGGTTGAGAGGGTTCTTTTGGCTGCTGTGTTTATTGTTCTGATTAGTTTTGGAATTGCTCTGTTTGGGTGTTTCTTTCCCCCTTTTTGTTGCCTCACCAACATCGGTTTGAGCTATCATATGATTGTGTAGCAATCTTAATACCAACTTAGTTGGGATTAGGATGATCCACTATAATGTTTTTTGCTCCTGCCCTTTTTTATTGATATAAATTCTCATGTATATCATGTTTGAATTTATCAATAAAGTTTACTTTTCTTTGTTGATCCCAAAAAAATACTTCAAACCAATTAGCATTTCAGAGGGGGAATATTCAAAATTGGAGGGGCCAATTCCTTAACAATATAAATTCAACCACAAATATATAGTATAATAATTGAAGTTATGGAAATGGATGCAGGGGCAATGGTCCCCATAGCCACCCCTGCGTCCGCCATTGAATACTACCACTCTACTGCATAAATAAACGCAATTTATCTTGCATCTCTAGCCTAATATTCTTAGTAATTTACTTTCTTAATTCTACCATACTAATAATTTCATCTATCCTAATCCAACAAACAAACTGACCTATAACTATTCATCTACTTGTCTAGAAGTATACAATGTTAATAAAAATAAAAATATAAAAACCTATATAATCCGTGCAACTACAACTCTTTTCCATACTTATATAAGTTTTTTTTTTTCTTCTTAAATACTGAAACTTTATCTTGACATACCATTACTAGGCATGTGACACAAGCATTGTGAAGCAATATTGAACCTTCTGAAGCAAGCTAGACCAAGAAAAACACACATACTTGCCAAATTAAATTTCACAATTCCAGAAACACGCAATGGAAAGGAGAAAAAAAAAAAAGATTGGCTTCAACATATGCATAAAGAAATTTTGTTTCGTAACAATGATAATGTAGTATCACTGTTTTATTGAATTTTTACTCCAAATTTAGATGCCGATGGACTGCATGAACTCTTTATCGTTCTCCATAGCAAGAAACTTCTCGGGTAACAAGCAAACTTCAATGTCAACGCTCCCTTCTTTCATCCCAGGAAAAACCGTTATCTTCCCATCCCTCTTATTTGCTAAGCCACTTCGCACTGCCAACGGTTTTCCCCAACCTAAGTCATTACCATATACATTGAACTGAGGTGAACTACTCGTGTACAAAGTAGCATTCGCCAACTACTCATTGTCAGTAGTTTTGGATTTTTCACCCAGCAATTGAAGAAGTCCCTAACTACATCATTTGTTTGCAAAGCAATTACATCATTTATTTTCAAAGCAGCCCAACCTAATCCCTGCTCGAGCAGCTCGCCCACTTTTGTGCATACAACCTCACCATGAATTGCATTCCCAAAATACCCTTCCGGTAGTGAGGGTTTCAATCTTGGCCCTGCACCTATGAATAACTTATACCTCACCTCTTGGTTAGTGTAATTGATGCTTTGGCAGCATACGACAGATCGCAAAAGATGAGCCAACAGTGCTTGGAGAGAGGAGATAGTAGTGGTGCTTATCTCGGCATTGGCTTTGGCTTTAAGTTTTGCAATTTTCTCTTTTGTGAAATGGAAAACCCTTTGTTCTAATGTCGTTATAATGTCGTTGGTATAACGAATTCATCGTCTTCATTGGAGCAAAAAGGGATTCGAATAGGGCAATTGGTATTGCTAGGAAACCAACGGTTGAGAACTGAAGGTCGTGATATATTGTCAAAACCACGTGATGTTTCTGACCAAAAATTAAAGAATTGCCAGAAAGACGAACCATCACCGATTATATGATTCATGGTGCAACCAACGAAGGAGCCATCGATGAGCTCAGTTACTTGAACTGCAAGTAAGGGTTTGGAAACACCTTCGTGGTTAAGAACACCATTAAGTGGGAATAAAAAGTTGACAATGTGAGGCACATACACGGGATCAAGGATATCGTTGACAGTGACATTGTCAACAACTGAATGAATGAAATGAGCTTCGGCATTGTTGCAGTCTACGAAGAACGAGGAAGTGTTGTCATCATTTTCAATGACACCAAGGTGCAGGGACGGATCTAAGATTATGACTTTGGGGGGGCCAAAGTACATTTAACCTCTAACCAATAAAATTTGAAGTTTAATACCAATTTCTACTAACATGAAAAAAATCTATAATGTTATGATAAAATATTGAACTATATATTCCTTGTCAACATAGTTGAGTACAAAAAGATGATCATACAATTGAGAATATTTTTTTACCCATATTCACTTACAAAAAGTAGTAACTATTTTTACATGCATTTATTTACTAAAATTAAGCATCTTCAATTGAACTCGATGCTTTTTCATAATATCAAAAGTATGAATGATAGAGTCTACATCAAACCCCTCGAGCAATGTCTTTTTCAATGTACATAATCAAGTAACTAACCAGAAAACCATCTTCCATCCTATTGAGCCAAAAATTTTCAAATAGTTTAAAAATTGGGGAGCTGCTCTATATAATTTTGAAATTATCTAAAAAAAATTTGAGGGTGAGAACTCCTATAATTTTAAATTATTTTAAAATTTCTAGTATAATATATGATATTTTTCAAATTTTTGGGGGTGTGGCCACCCCCCTAGATCCATCCTTGCTAAGGCGGCCAGTGAGGAGAGGGAAGAACTCGAGCGTGTGGGAGAATGAGATCTTGAGATGATCAACTATGGTGTTGGCTAGAAGGTTTTCTTGTGATGGTGTTGGTTTGTGAAAGAGAAGACCCTTTTGAACAGAGCCAAGTAGGAGAAACTGGAGATCCCATGGAGTTAACTCAATTCTTTCACCATGGCGACTTGAAGATTGGACTACACTAGTAGAGATGAGCCTAATTCCCTCCATGTATGATTCTCTCTATGCAATTACTTCTATATTTGATGTACAAGCTCAGCTTCAATTAGTCCAATAATTATAGTAAGAAGAAGCATGAGATTTTTTTTTTTTAATTGTCCTATCTTTAATTTAATCTTTGGGTAAATTACAAATATACTCAATGAGATTTGCTTAAAATACGAATTGTTCTCTGTGGTTTGGAAAATTACAAATATCTCCCTGTCAGAATTTTTTATTTAACAGAATTAATTAAAAAAGTTAAATTTCTAATTGTTCACCTGTACAATAATAAAATTATCTGAATTATTAATTGAAACAAAATTTTAACATTATTAAAAATTGTTAATTAACTTGATGATTTATTAATAAAAGGACCTATTTGTTATAAAATTAAAAATATTAGGGGGCATAATGCAATTTCTAAAACTATATGGAGTAATTTATAATTTAAGTAAATATCAGGGAGTATATTTGTAATTTACCCTAATATTTTAATGCCAATTTGAAATCAAGCTGTGAGGACATCATTTTTTTTTTCTTCTCCCTCCAATGCCATGGTTCCCCTGTGGTTATAATTTTTTTTTTTCCACTTAAAAATAGTCTTCTTCTGACTTTAATCACAGTCTAAATCTTCTATTAAAATATAAATTGGATCCCCAATTAATATGAGTAGTGTTATTCAAATTTAAAATTAGACTCACTTTTCAAACTCAATAATCAGTCAACCAATTACTATTATGTATTTTTTTCACTCTTATATTTTTTCTAATTATCAATCAATCATCTCACTTATGCATCATTAGATCTAGAGGGTTCATCTAAAAAATAAACTTATATATTATTTTCCTAAATCACATATATATATATATATATATATATATGATTTGGGTAAATTATCAAAGAACCAATAAATTATCAGTGGTGTTACACGCATCAATTAGTATACCAACATATGTTATGATATTATCGTTTCAAAACTATGAACCCCACTCATTATATAAACTATAAAAACTCAAAATCTCTAAAATTATACACAGTATTCTTTATTATTGTAATTAATATATAAATTGATAGGTACAACTTTATTTATAAATTATAATATATGTACAACTGAACACACACATGTTACAACCTAGTGCAAGGGTTGCTTATCTTGACCACATGGATTAGGGGTAGCAACTATCAATATTATATGTATATATGTTGTATTATAATACAATTATTATTGAGATCTCCAAAAAGAGTCACATTAATATTATCAAATTATTATATTAAAACAAAATTATTGAAGTGGAAAACAACCCAAATTAATTTATCATACAAGATACATACTTATAAATTCGTTTATATCATAATCTTAAATATTAAACTAATCAACTATTGGTTGTAAATTAGTTTAGACAAGTATAAAGTTAAACAGTTCAAATAGTCAATTCTACTATTTTTGGGAAATTTACTCGAAAGTCGTATTTCATAAAGGGGTTAATTTTCTTCCAGTCCGTACATAACCAGACTAGTGGGTGCTGTTAGGCCTGTGAAAGTCTATTGCAGGTCCTGTTTTAATAATCTGAGCCGTTGAATGTGTAGAACTTGTTGAGTACTATATGCCTGTAAAAAATCACGTTGATCGGATATCAATAGTTATGTGATCAAATCAGTTTTGTATATAAAAAAAAAAATAAACAGTGAAAAAATAAACAGTTGACAGAAATCTGATCTGATGAAATAGCTATCGAAATCCAATTAACGTAATTTTTTATAAATATATAATACTCGACGAGTTTTACACATTGAACGGTCCCGATTATCGAAACGGAACCTATGGTAGGCCCTCACAGACCCAACAACACCCTCTAATCCGATCACGGACTGGAGGGAAGCCAATCCCTTTCATAAACATCTGTATCTAAAAATCCTATGAAATTTTTTAGTCACATAAGTCCCATTCACTTAGGAAGTTATTTCATGAGATATGTTTAGAATGTTTTTTTATTACTTTTTGGATCGTTATAATCTTATTCCTTTTTTTTGGATTTTTTTTTTTGGATTAGCTTATACATTTAGAATTACTGTTATTATTATATGATTATCCATAGTGTTACATTTGATTTTGATGTGAGATTACTCATATCATGGTAGTATATATGATGATGCAGTTTGTTCCAGGTGGAACGGGTTTGACTGATCTGCGCTTCTCAAGCCTGTGTCTGAATGATCAAGCCCACCAAAGGACCTGCACAAGAGTTCAACGGGGAACGGGGAGTCCCCAAGCGAACCCTCCGACGAGCAAGTTAGAGAGAGAAGTAGAAAGTAGAGATGAATTAGAGATAGAAAGTTTAACCTTTTCCTTGTTTTCGACGTCTGCTTATATCCTTTGATAATCATTTCGTTGTCCCTTCCGACCTGTCACCTTGGCCGAAAGTCTATGGTCTAGCTTACCTTGTTCATGGTGAAGGCGTTCTGTCCCGACGGAGAGGGGTTATCGCAATAAATGCTGTAAGGGACTTCATTAATGGTGATGTGCAGTGGCAATAACTTTGCAGATCTTCGTCTGCTTATGTGGCTTGCCCTTCTCTTGCTATGTGTCTTGATGTTATTGGTTCTTATTGCTACGTGGGGCTTCAGCAATGTTGGGCTTTAGTATTTGAGTTATTGGGCCCTAAATGGTGGGCTATAGTCCTTATGGGCTTATACACGTCAGTAGTCCCCCATTCCCAAGTGCAGCTTTAGTCCAACGAAGGGAATAATGAAGAGAATGAGGGTTATAAGGGACCGGCAGGATGAAGGCCGACCGAGAGAGGTGACCGACCAGGAGGAGGGCCGACCGCGAAGGGTGGTCGAGTGGAGGGATCGACCATAAGGAGGGCCGACCGCGAAGGGTGGCCGAGTAGAGGAACCGACCGTGAAGAGGGCCGACCGCGAAGGGTGACCGAGTGGAGGGGCCAACCGTGAAGAGGACCGACCGTGAAGGGTGGCCGAGTGGAGGGACCGACCGTGAGGAGGGCCGACCGTGACGAAGGCCGACCGCTCAGGTGATTGAGTGGCGGTGCGCGGGGCTCGAGGGGTGTCAGGGCACGTGGTGATTTGAAGTGGAAGGCACAAGGTAGGGGAAGGGGGCAGTGGATCGTGGGCGTACACGTGGCGGAGTCCCATGATAGGGAAGGTTAGGCGTTGAGTAAGAAATGAAACGATAGGTCAATATAGGGTGTTGAAAAGACAGTTTTAGCGGATTTTTGAAAATTTTCAAACTGGCAAAATTTAATTGTGACCCTTGGAATATAGGCAAACCTTGGGCTTTTGGTATTATCCGTTTGACGTACCTATTTGCCAACAACCAAAATATTCCAAGTGTAAACTCCTTTGTGTCGAGTGATGCACCATTGTAACATTTCGTGAACTATCTCACACCAGCATCTGAAGCTATTCGCAGACACACGAGAGAGATGGCCCAAGAGGAAGCAACAAACGCAAGGGTTGATCCATTGGGCGACGACGATGCGGTAGATTTGGCGAAGCAGTATAGGACGGAGAGACGAGTAGGAAGCGAGGGGGAGCCAGTGGGGCGACCTCGTTCGTCCACAATGATTGCAGCAGCGAGGCCAATTAGCTAGGTTGAGCCAGATCACTGGCATACGACGGTCGATAAGTCGACTGTTACCACGGATGATTTGGTGGGTATACGCGAGAAATACCAGATTCTCGTAGAAATAGAGTTAAAGCTGCCGACAACGAAGGAGAGGCCATCCGACGCCCGACCGGGGGAGTTTGCCCTCTACGAGAAGGCGTTGAAGGGAGGGTTGAGGTTGCCGCTTCCGCAGGTGGTAGTGGATGTCTTAAACTGGTTGGAAGTGGCGTCAGGTCAACTAATGCCCAACGCGTGGAAGATTGTACTGGCCTGTGCAAGCGCGTGGCTGAGAACGAATGAAGGGGTAGCTATGACGGTGGACGAGTTTTTTGCATGCTACAAGGCCTCGGGGCAACAAGAAACTTGGGTCACTTTGCAGGCGGCGGCAGGGAGGGGCCTGGTGGCGGGGTTGCCGTCATCAATAAAAGGGTGGAGGCCACAGTGGTTCTACGTGTCCACAAACGGAGGAGTTGGAGTGCGCACGGTGTGGAGAGTGCTCACCAAGTCTGTGGAGCCAAAACTGGGGGGCAGCTGAGGAGAGGGTGAAGAAGGTGAAGGCATGGAGGGAGAAGGAGGGCGCCAAACGGGACGAGCTCGTTCAGCCGTCAGCCT